TTTGAAATAAATATTACCTAAGCCTAGTTAAAATTTTGCAACTCATGTTAGAGGAAACTAAAAATCGATTAAAACTGTCAATTAAAAGTGTATTAATAGTGCAATGATTCACTGTGTACTTCTAATTAATGAATACCTCGAACTAAAATGGTTAAGGTATCAGAGACGTTTCCCTCAACGATTAACGTTTCCACGACTGTCACGTAGGTCCTGCGCAGAAACGACGGTCGTTATTTAATGTCTGCCATGTTATTTATCTAGCCGTCATTCACCCATGACGCGTGCGCAACTCATCGACGAAACAGTATACACGAAACGACTTTTCCAGCAATGTCGAACATACGGTTCTAAACTTCGTCGAGGCCACGACTGTGGACTACGTATCGCACAATCTGCTCCATACAGATCGAGATGTTTGATTTTATGAGAAAATTCACCTCACTGGGTGAATAACCTTGTGGGAGAAATTGATTCGATTCAAGGAAATTCGTGAAAGAAGCAAAGCTCGTAGGAGGAGTTTTGAATTATGTATGAGAGTGCTTTTTGATTTAAGTATTGGGTCGAGTAATAAATTCATTGCCATTTCTGTGGAAAAGTGCAGAGTGTTATTAGTTTTATATAAAAACATCTGTGTATAATGACATATTGATGTATGCACAGTAACCTGGGTAACTGGGATGAGTTTATTTTCAAAAGAGCTAGAAACTTAGAAGAAGGTTGTAAGAGAAAGTGAAGTGGTATGGAATGAAGTATTCTGAAATTAATTTTATGTACATTTATGTATTGATGCATCTACAAAGTGAAACTGTGTGACGTTTCTAAATTAAATTCAATAATTTTGGCTATTTGGTGTTTGTAATTAACAGGTGTTTGGTTAAGTGTAGGTATGGTAGTGGTAATGGTGATTATAATTAATTAGTTGAAGTAATTTTTCACCATTTATAAAAAATGTTTATGTCTCATATCAAATTTTGATGCCTACTTATGTCTCGTATAAAATTTTGATGCCTACTTATCTTTTAAAACTAGTAGTTTAAAAGTTATTTCAGTCTGAAGGTTGTTAAGTTATTTTGACTTATCATCTTAAGTCATAAGATATTTGTACCATGGCAAAGTGTATGAATAATCCTCCATTGTAATCTAAACGAATTGATATTTTTTTCTTCATGATGCTTAATGCACCTTGGTATGTCACACGTTGGATCTATTTTAATAATTTTTTAACTACTATCGTAGCTTTGTCTTTTAAATATTATAGATAAGAAAGTAATTTGAATTGTTATAATTAGATGTTACTTCATATATAAGTTCATATATTCTTCAAATAGTAGTCTTGTTTTTGATTATACAGATAGTAAGCATTTTCCTACACAAAATACATTTAGTTATTTACAAAATAAAAGTCTTTTAAGTATACTAATGTGTATATAGATAAACAGCACAAAATGTATAATAAAGAGAAATAGAAAGATACAATGTAGAAAATAATGAAGGCAAGAATAAAGTAACCTGAACACACTAAGCAGCTTCTCTCTTCTCTAATTAATCAAGGAAAAAGTCGAGGTTAGAAAAAGAGGTTAAGCGAAAGAATTAGCAAAATCTCATAGTCTACTTATGGGATTGGTAACATAGATGCGTATGCAAGTAGTTTGAAAGAAGAACTATGGCTAATGGACTAACCAAGCGAATATATACATACACAATGACTGAATTGCACTAGCGCTAACACACAAACACAAGACGGTGAAGATTCCACGTGAAGTGTTCTGCGATGCGCAAAAGAGGCGTGAAGTATCTTGAGATAAAGTGCCTTGCGCATCGCGCGACACTTCAAGTAAAACCTTCGTCGTTACGTGTTTACGTTGGTACAAAACTATTTAATGTCAGTGGTAATATGTATCATATTATGTATCAATAAATAAAGTAATATATGGATCTCCGATCAACACCTAGATAATTTAAATGCTGATCAAGAGCGTAAGTGTATATATTATTTTTCAATTATAAGAATTGTAAAATAATCGTGATCAGTAATAGGTTATGCGTTGTAATAAACACTGTGATTTTTTGGAAACCTATAAAGTGACAGGAGATTATTGGAACAAAAATAAGTCTACATTCAATCGATTATAAAACGCACAACATCAATTGTCGTAAAAAAGATATTAACGTAACTAACTGATACTTTTTAACTGATTGAAAATAATAAACAGATTTGTCATATATTCGACCTCTGGTTCATGGTACGTAATCGTATTATTATTAAACGTGCGATAAGTGTTTAAAATGGTGTGTCATGTTCGGTGATGTAAGATTTTACTCTTTTCATCAAATTTCGAAGCATGCAATTAAATAAATATCGTGAATCTGCAATTCGACGTGTTTTATAAACAACTGATATAAATGTTCATATTAATTAAAGTTTAGAAATAAATCCAGAAAATAAGCCGACTAGCTATAATATAATTACAATCACTGTATAATCACGATAATGCCTTCTTTATTTTCATTAAAATAAATCAAATAAATATATACTTTTATCACATTTTTAGAGTATTGTTTTTTAATCTTAGTACACATGTCTCTGTATTTATTATATTTAACACTAATTAATTAAAATGGAAATCATATTGAGTAACTTTAAAATATTCTTCAAACTCTTCTGATATTTACTTGGTTTATTTAGTTACTAGATAATTCACTAGATATATTTACTAGAAATCATGGCAGTTCTTAGGTATTTGTTATCTTTTCGTGTTTCTTCACATTTTTGATACAAAAATATTTTGTACTTTGTAAAAATCTTAAGAAAAATAAGAGTAAGCACTAAATATAAGAGTAAAATGGTTGTACATTACATGATAATATTAAATGACAGTTTCGTGGCTGTAATTCACTGATTAGAGATGAGTGCAAGATTTTTGTAATACCATTTTCGAATAAACGAAAACTCATTTATATTCACTGGTACGAAAACTGGTTCTCATACTGGTTTGGAATCTAGTCCAGCAGTTACTATTTCGGGTAACTTGCAAGCGTAAATCAAGGTCGTCAACGATTACTTCGATAAACATAGTACAGAACAGCGTCTTCCAGATTTATTTTGAAAAGATATTGCATATTTCTCGTACAATTTTATATCATATTTCATCAATATTATTCAAACGACGTTGTTTCTATTATTATCCAATTTTTATTTTATGCAAATCAGTGAAATTCTGAATTTATAAATGTACCTGTGATTATGAAAGTGGTCTAAGTCACTTATATCTGTTTCTGAAATATTAAAAGCTTCGGCCTTTAAATACGTCATAAATTATAAATTAATTACGATAAAGCTACAAACTTAATCTAACAATTCAATTCTTCACTGTTTTGTAGAAAATAAATATATTTTATCGTAATATAAATGAATGCAACACGAAATAAATAATAAAATTGTTCCTCTAAAGTCGATGACTTAGACCATTTTCATAATTATAGGCACCAATATAAAAATGAAGAAAATAATAATTGATCATTTCTGTAACAATGATGATTTTTTTATCGATATTAAGACTGCCATATAAATTTAATTTTCCTAATATATTAAAAAATGAAGAATGTACAATCTACAAATTTCGCATTTAGTACATACAAATTAGTTTTCATTTTGATTAGATTTTGATTTCATCTGAAATACAGATTTCATTTTGTATAAGTCCATAGAGTACAGAATAATATTTTGTTTTGATAGATTATTATCAAGTAACATAGTAAGTTTGGACAAGATGGATTAGATTATCGGAATCAAGGTTATGGTTCATTTTCAACGCGGATCTGTTAATTTGTGTATGTGTGTATTATAAATGTTTGGTTTACACGCCTGGTTTTATTTATTGGTTCAACACATGTGTTGCTGCAATATTCCTTATACTTCACACCTGAATGGTACGATAAATAAGTTATTTATAAGAGAATAAAATTTGTCGGACCTTCAGATTATCAGAATTATTATTTAAAATATTTAAATTCAGATATGATAGAGCTATCTTAAATTACTTCATTTCAGTTGTGTTAATTATTAATTATATATTTTTCAATGATATATGATTGAAATATATATTATGTATAATTATAATTCTGATTATAAGAATTATTATTTAAAATATTTAAACTCAGATATGATAGAACTGTCTTAAATTACTTCATTTCAATTGTTTTAATTATTAATCATATATTTTTCAATGATATATGATAAAAATATATATTACATATAATTATAATTATACTTGTATAATATTATATACAATTATAATCATGCTTATATAATTTTCTAAATATATATTTGTTATCAATTATTAATAATATATTTATTATCACATTTATGTTTATTAAATACGGTTTTGTTACACTACAGACAGATTTATCTCTGGAAACATTAATTACAAGTATGTTTTACTTGTTAATATTATAACAAGAAAATAAATTACCTCTCTACTTTTTTGATTTCTCAAACACTCAATGTGTCCTCCATATTTGCATTACAAAACACGTGGCTGACGTAAACATGTTTTTAGTACCCATTAGTATGAACTGCGTTATAAAAAATGCTACGTGAGGAGAGAATCTATTCACTGCTATTTTCCTACATATTTTTCCGTTCCTTTGATTTTTTAAATTAATAATAGTGATTCAATAATCACCGATCCTTACTGAATTCAATCCGTTATATCCAGAAATTTAACAATATTAACTGCAATATATTTTGCCAGTGTTGCACAATTTTTAAATTATATTCCATGTACTTTTATATACATAGATAAACAAGGGAAATGTCTTAATTTAGAAAAAGGACTTAATTTTAATATTTAATATTATATATAATACTTTTTTTTCACTAAAGTTACTAGCTAAGTTACTAGTTACTAAAGTTACTAGTTTCTAACTAAGTTTCAATATTTAATATTTGAATTATATAAGTCATGTGTTTTAATGGGTTTTATTTTCAACTGACTTACCTCGAACACACCTGATGTAATTGTTGAACTCCTTTTGCAATCTATTCGCTGCATTCTGCTGTCTCATGAAGTTCTGCAGATGTTCGTCGAATATATCATCTGCAGTTCTATCAACTTTGCCCAGATTTTGAAGAAACTGTAACGAGAAAGAACAATCTGTACCAATTACTTAATATTGGGATTATAGGTTGTAATAATAAAATAACTATGATATATATATATATATATATTTAAAGTCTTTTATTTCTCGAGGAAGGTATATGTTTCTTCTAATGCTTCTCTTGAGAGATTGAACGACCCCTATAAGACACATCTGCAGCTGTACCCGACTCCTGAGAGAGTGTCAAGAGGGTACGCAACGCGGTTCGCTCAAACCCCCAACTTCTATTAAATGTTTATAAAAACATTCATTCTACGAACTTATATCTTATAAACTAGATTGATTTTTGACTATAGCTAAACTTATTTTTTTAACACTTAACTTCCCATTTATCATTATAAAATTATTGTGCACCGGTTACTAATTATTTCTGATAACTAAGAAAGTATACGAAGTATAATTAAAAATTCTATACAATTTTTCTTTGTGTTATTTAAAATATTCGTTTTATTTCTTTTATTATATATCTATCTATGTATCTACATACATAGCTCTATGTGTATTTTACAAATATGAAAAATAATGTACTGTTAGATGACTGTTTAGTCATGTATAGGTGTTTATCTATGTACATTAAATAAATAGACCAGCTAACTTTCCCTTTTTATCCCTTACTTATCTTTATCAACCTGTTACTCACTCCAACCTCGACCTTTCCTGCATCATCTTCTCTTAACCTTCGATCTATAGACAACCCCCCCCCCCCCCCATTATTTTCCAATTCAGATATAAATGTAAGATTGGAACGCGTGGGGTCCTGGGAGAATGTTAAGAGTATTTGGGATCTAGGACGAAAGTGACCACGAGGAAGGGATATTTATAATAGAGTCGAGTGCGAGAAACGAAAATTTAGGAATGCATCCAGAGTCTTTGAAATATTGTACTTGGCACACCGAGGTCACATGGAGAATGAGTGATCGAGAAAGAAAACCTGCGTATAAAAGAAGAGAGACTGCAATGTTAAATAATGGTGCAAGGATGCAAACGAATCAGTTTAACCCTTTGCGGACTACGGTTGCATTATATGCATTCTGCATAAACCATCAATTTGGCCGAGGAACTCATATATGCGTTTGGCCAAAACAACTGATAGAGCCGAAAAACCCATATAATTACGTGTCTCGCATAAACGTATCACTATGGCCACATATGTCTAGAATTTGAGATCTTGGAGTGCTATCAACGAAAATAGCGATTAAGCAGAAATGTGCACTAGCAATTTGAAAAACTTTGCTTCATGGTAGGTTAACTTCGAATCATCCCTTCTGCAAAGGGTCAATATATATTATACACATCACATTCGAAATCCTAAGAACCACTCAGTGTGATAAAGTATATACAAACTCGAAAGTGTCTTTTATTGTACACCCAAGGTGCAGTCTATCTAAATGGTAGAACATATTGAGACAAGGCATACACCATAATAATCCTCGGCTACTTTCGTGCAACAACAATGTTTGAGAGCTATATTTAATATAATCAGTAAACAAAATCGTGGGTATCACCCCTCACAGGGGTTAGTTTTTCATTGTCTTGTGTCTGGAGCTTCCTGATGGGATACTAGTGGCCATCTTGCTATATTATGTAACACGTAGAAGGGACGTAAAGAAGGGATGTGTTTCGTCCCGGGCCTGTTAGTGGACTCGTCAGTAAGGTTACCTAGCAGGCCCTGTCTTAGACGGGGGATACTTAGGATAAGATACCTATCCTAGTAGTTCTTAGGATAGGAACTTGCATTTATAGGAGTCGAGGATTTATTGAGGATTTGCGAAAAACCTCGAACCTCCGTTTTCAATCTGGTGTGAACGTTGGTCACTATAAAATTCTTTAAAATAAGTAGCAGTGGAAGAGTTGTCCTGTGAAGCAAATTTCAAACGAAATACTTCGAATTGTAGGGAGTTATTGGCAACAAAATTGAATATTAGGATTATGGGTAAAAAGAAATAACTAGCTTTATTTTATAATTATCTTTATTTCATCCTTAGGAAGGTATATCTTATGTTCTAGATATTCTAACTGTTCGCATGGAGAGATAAAATTAGAGTGATGAAAAAGGGTATGCAATTGCAGCGGGTCTTGGTCCCCTAATTCTTATCTAATTCTCTTAATTTTTATCTTCCTCTCTTCAACGCATAGTTCAAAGATATATCTATTTATCCTAAGAGATTGACTTTTGTATATACGTTAAGACGTATCTTATTCTCAACATTGAAAAATAATTCGGAGTGTAAAGGGTTAACGTGTGTCCTATGCAGACAAGCGAAGTTTCTAGATCCACGGAATCTTCTTTTTCGAAACAATACTCTCGCTTCGTGTTTCGTGTCACGAGATGATCCTCGTGTTCTAACGTGACTTTCAATTCGTTTCAAAATAGGAGCTGCCGTTCATCTTTGTTCAGCATTAAGCGTAATAGACGCTAAATTACACCAACTTCGCCATTACCTTGTCACTCGTATACTACACACTGGTGTATCGCTGTTAGCTTCAGCGGGATTTCTATTGAAGAGAATCGTGCGTGATAAGGGGGCCTTTATGGAGGTGTCGTGTATTACTTCTCAACTATCAGCAGCCGCGAGTTCTCGACCAGAGCAAGCCTCGATTCGAATCTACCACGAGAAACGAATTGTCTGCAATCGTCGATGTTTTCTTCAACAACGTGTCTCTCGTATAACTACTCTATGAATTTCATAATAAACAATGCTGCTACTATCTGTTTAGCTGGTGATAGATAATCTCCGCAGTCTAGACTAGAATACTATTCCAGACTGAAATCTCTGAAGAATGATAATATTATTAGTCAACGACTTTAGAATGACTGATGAATGAAAAAGATAGAAATTTGATGAATTTCTTTTTTAATACACAATAAAATTTTAGCTTAAGATGTATGAATATTTTAGGTTATGATTTAAGTAGGGCATTTTACAATTTTTATTTAAAATATTAGGGTATTTTAGGTTATGGAAAAAGTAGGGCATTTAAAAATTTTAGTGTAAGATGTATGAGTATTTTAGATTATGGCTTAAAGTAGGGCATTTAAAAATTTTAATTCACATACTATGTGAAAATTGTACGATATTTACCTTTAGTATGAAATAGGTTTGAAAACAATTATTTAAAGCGTTTATGCTTTTTGTAGAATTTATTATACGTAAAAGTCAAAACGTAAAATAAAATTGAAATAAGATTAACGTGAAGTAATAAGGATGAGGAAAATGTTTTGTTATATTTTTGAGAAATTCTCATACTTTTTAAAATTCTTTTGTACAAATTTCATTGTGTTAAAATAATTGATAAAACAAACCTTTCCATATTTTCTATATACATTTCGAGTATTACGAGCATTAACGATATACTGCAACCATAACAGGGTTATTATCAATTTTCCTTCAAAATTTAATTTCTTTTAAAAATCTTTCACTCTTAATTATTTTCCAATCTCATAAGTAGTCTTATAAATAACAAAAATGGTATTGCATGATAAAATATCAACATCGATATTTTCCAATTTTTATTCTTGAATAAATCAATAATTTCTACGAATTAAAATTACACATCCTGTAAATACTAACAACGTACGACCAAATCTAACCTTTTTATACCACCGAGGCAGAACAGTGCATTTAAATTATTCATTCTGCACTTAACATCTTATCACAGTATACTAGAATTCATAAATCTAATTTACATACGTCACACTCGTTCCACGACGCTTAATCTAATTCCTAAAATCCCAACTCCTTTATTTCCCTCTAAAAACATTCTTTCTATGCAAATAAAATGAACACAGAATTAAACAATTTTTATAAATAATCGTATTAATCGTCACCTACGTCGTTTCACATTTTACAGAAATTTACCATCACGAATCTACTCGGAAACTGTAATACATAAAAGCAAGGAAGAGATTGCCATATATATCATTCGATGAAACTAACAACGCGCCGGGTTCGTTAAATTTAATCTTATTCATAATAATTACGGCATGCACTTACGTTTACGTCACGATTCTGATAACCAGTAGCTGGCGATATGTATAGTCAACACCGTTAGCATCCAGCGACCTCCTCTGGCGCTATTTATAAATTCAGCCCGCCAAATAGCACACGATTATTTCCCCGTGAGTTTAGCCAGGAGAATAGCGCCCCGGCGGATCTCGGGCGAAGTGAAAAAGAGAATAAAAAAGACGCGCGAACGAAGCTCCAGCGTGGGCATTGGTCACGTGATTCGGGTCGACTCGGGAACCGAGGTTACGTCCATATTTGAAACGAACGTTACGAGATATTCCTGTAACGAGGCATGATGTGTGTGATATTTCGTTATTTTATTAATTATAACTTATTTCGGGTTAACCTTGTTGAGAGTGTTCACACTTTTCTCATTAGGTGTTTATTGTTTCTGTTTTAATTTATGGGGTGTTTATTATTTTGTAAACGTTTCTCGTTTGACGTATTTTTTACCCTAACCTAACTTAACCCCGTTGAAGGTTTTCACACTTTTCTCATTAGGTGTTTACTGTTTCTCTTTTAATTTATGGGGTGTTTATTATTTTGTGAACGTTTCTCGTTTGATATATTTTTTACCAGCGTCCAAGGTTGTAAAACGGCGTCGTTACATGTCTATAAAAGGTACCCAGAATTCACGCAAGATTTGAATTTTGCGCCATCTGTGTAGTAAAGTGTTACCAACGATAGAAAATAACAGCGTGTCTATGAACAGTTCAGGGTTATTAGAAATGGAGTGTTACACAGTAGAACAACGCGTTTTCATTTTTGAGCAATATTTTAAAAATAACGAGGGTTTGTTTGTTTTCTATCAAAATTACTTCTTGCGTGAATTTTGAAACACCCTTTATTGATAATACTTTTGCAAATTTGTTTGAATTTTTTTTAAGTATATGATACTTTTTGAGTAATGATTCTTTATTTCAGTGAATTTTAATAATTATTATTAGTACTATATTATAGTATAATATA